ATTAAGAACCTTTTCCACGTTCACTGTCCACGCAACTAAAACCGGTGAATAGCCCGTCCACGGATTATCTGAATTCCATCTGCATCACACTCGCACATTAACCAAAAAAAAAAAACATGTGGGACTGGTCAACTTGGTCAAATGCCCCACAAGAGTTAAGAATTTACCTTTTTAGCCCTTGGTCCATTAGGGTATGTCCTACACAAAGCCCTTGTGTCTCAACCCTAACAACCCCCTTTTTGAACACGAAAAGATCAGGCCGAATTAAAGCCACAAAACAGACAGGGTCATGAAGGAAAACTCCTGGAGATAGATATTAAGAAAATATTTTTTATTATTAAAACAAATTTTCATTTATATTATATATGAAAGAATTAATAAATTTATACCATAAACACCATCTGATTTTCACATGCCAATCTCTGTAGAATTTACTACTGTTGCACAAAAACTGAGCATGCTTCCCTTTAGACTTTCTCAGTTCATCAAGATCATCATCTGAAAATCCATAAATCTTGATTATTCCTTTTATAAAAAATGGCAATTTCCTATATATATATATATATATATATATTATATATATATATATATATATATATATATATATTATATAATAAAAAGTGCATATCATATACTGGTCAAACCTGACATTTTGACTTGTGTTGTGATGTTTATGCCAATAACATCTATATTTGCACCAGAAGTGAAAACAATATCTGCTGCTTCAGGGTCCCCGTATATCTGTAATTACATATAATAATAACATCAGGAAGCTTTAAATTTCCATTCAAAAACTTTTAAAGAAAAAAAAATTTTCAATTTTTTTTTGTACATTTGCTTCTGCAGCTGGATTAATATTCCCAAGTGCAAAAAAAGCTCCACCGAGTATCACCACTCTTTTCACCTTATTTACAAATGAGGAGTCCCTTTTGATGGCCTATATTCAAATAACAACCAATTTGGATCACAATTAGTTTTTTTTTTATTTTTTTTTATTGATTATGTGATTATAACAAGATTTTCAATTTGAAACTTACCAAAGCCAAATTTGTTAGTGGACCAAGTGCAAGTATAGATACTTCACCAGGGTATTCAGAAACTTTATCTACTAAAAATTCTGATGCTGATTTTTCTACTTTTTTTAATTTGGGGGGAGGTAGATGTAAGTTTCCTAATCCATCTGATCCATGGATGAAATCTTGAATCTCTGGCTCTCCTCCCTGTGACAAAATTAGAGTTTAACTCGAACATAAATACATAATACAAGATTTTTTTTTTTTAATTAAAAATGGGAAAGTAAATTGTACCTTTAGTGGTTCAAAACTACCCTCAGCAACAGGAACATCCAAACGTCCTGCAATTTCACACTATCCTTTTACACATGAAAACGGGTGATTGATCATGTACAAGTTTAAATCCAAATTATTTGAAACTTGGAATTTTCAAGAAATGAATTTAAGAGAAAGAAAAAGGAGTACCAGAAGTAAGGCATTACGAGTGGCATCTTTTGTGGAGACATTACCAAATGTTGTTGTCAATCCTAAGATATCTAAGTTTGGTGTCTGAAAAGCCATCATGATTGCCATGCTATCATCTGATTCAACATCAATTCAGGAATATTGTTATATTTAGGATCAGTTCCACTGTTTAATCTATCAAGATCTGAATCTGTATATGAAGTATATCTGATATAATGTCTACAACAGGGGTATCTTTGCCATTTTGATGTATAATTCAGATTTCAGTGTCTTTATTTGAATGTAACTATGTCCATGTTTGACTTGATGAACAATTGGCCACAATCATACTGGATATTAAATGTTAAAAGATGTAAAAACTGAAAAGCAGTATCTACAAAATGAAAATCTGAGTATCTGCAATGTAATGATTTGCTGATTACATAAGACACAATAAACTGATTTCAATTTCTTATCATCCCCGAGCTCGTACCCAATAACACATGGTTCCCATGTCATCCAATTGCACAATCCGAGCAAGGATAATGAATGTGATTGTTGCGATTTGTAGTCAAAATAACCAGTTTAGAGTGATTGACAAAAACTAATTATAATTCTAATTCTGGGATTATTTAGGTCAAAATAATCAGCTGTAAGCGAGGATAATGGGCAAAAGTTCTGATTATCGAGTTGCTTTAATCATTTGATTATCTGATCACGAAAGTTGCAATAATCACCTACCTTGGACATAACAAACGGGCATACTCTGGATACGATTACAAGAACCATACAAACAAATTTCACAATCCGACAAAGTCTAACTTAGTCTCAATTAAATACAATCAAAAGAGCTTCAAGTTTAGTATTTAACTTCATCAAGCATAGAAATTAGCTCGATCAAACAGATATCGAATAAAGCAGCGAATTAAGATAATATACCAATGCCAGGATCGGTATCAATGATAATCTTTTGAGAGAGTCCACCATTGCAGTACGACACCAACGGAGGGGAATCCATGGATTAGGTCCCAACTTCTGTCCCACAAAATACAGATGATCAGAAGTGTCAAAATCTGGAATAAAAAGAGATCAATCGCCCTTCTCTTTACTTTACGGTTTGGTGTGGGGCCGATAGACTGAAACTACGATCACATGAAAGCTACCGAAGCGGAATCTCCCCTCTCTCTCCAAATAAAATTATGATTTTTTTTTTAATCTCAGCTTTTCAGTGAAAAAAAATCAAGATTAAATAGGTGATTAAACGATGGCATGAAAATAACATTATGACTAAGTATGGCGAACTAGCCGTTAAATAAAAAAATATCTGAAAAAAATAAAACGATTTAAAATGACATTTAAAAAAATGTATTTTTATAATTAATTAAAAAATATATTTGGAAAATTTTAAAAAAACTTCTAAAAAACTATTCTAAATAGTTTTTTAAAAAGTTAGCTTATAAGCTACTTTTGTCCTACCAAAAATAACAACTTAAAAAAACTCGAAAAATAAATTAGCTTATCAGCTAGATATGTTGCGCCAAACATAACCTAAGTGTCATGACTCTAAAGTTTGTATCTGCGCCAAACCTTAACAAAATGTTGTTAAATTATATATATATATATATATATATATATATATATATATATAATTATTAAATATATATATAATTGTCGTCTTAGTCATGTCATGCCTTAACAAACGTTGTCGCTCACCACGACCCATAAACGTGAGGTTTGATATTGCATACACACTATGGGTTGACGTTATTTACAACTTTGAAAAAGACTAAATAAAATTATGAAAATAGTATATGATAATATAATTTTTAACTATAATAAACAAAATAAATATAATAATAATAATAATAATAATTATAATAATTTACATTTAATTGTAGTTATTGTATAGCCAAGTGGTTATTTCGCCTAAGTGGAAGCGATTACATTTACGAACTTATTTTGAGTTGCAAATGAAGGCATGCACACGTCACTAAGGCTGGTAGGAGTGGTACCATATTTGCTACAATCTACGTCAGTGTCACATCAGATTTTTCACACTTCATTAAAAATTTACCATTTGCATGGCATGCATGCTACTTTTCTAATATATATATATATATATATATATATATATATATATATATATATATATATATATATATATATATTAAAAATAATAATTTAACCAACTTAATTTAAAACTAAAATTTCATTAAACCTCAACGCAAATTACAACAAACACACCAAAAAAACTTAGAATTTAAAAAATAAAAACATGGAAATTAAACTTACCAAACCTGGATAGACCTAAAGGACATCTTCATCGGAAAATTGACCGTCCAAATCATCGATCGGTTCCGCGTTAAGATCGATGTGGTTGACGGTCCAAATATGTTCAGTCAATTCCCCACGAAGAACATGATGCGTCTCAACATCATGAACTATTGCCCTACTCGCCAAGTACTCCACGCTTCCAACCTCAAAAGCTTGTGTCGGTGGAACGATCTCGTTTTCCTTATACTCACATATTGTATTTCATACGTCTTCGAGAATCATATTATGCAATATGATACAAGTATACATCACCTCACTCATTTTCTTCTCCTCCAAATAAGGCGCGTGATATTTAAGAATATGCCAACGTTTTTTCAAAGCATCAAACGCTCGTTCAACATCCTTTCGCGCCTTCTCTTGAACTCTCTTAAACTTCAACCTTCTGCGATCATTTGGACAAGACGGTGACTTCACAAAACAAGCACGCTCCGGATAGACCCCGTCGACAAGATAATACCCCTTCGTATACGATGTTCCAGATACTTGAAAGAAAGACTGGTGCAGTCCTGTTATACATGTCGTCAAATAACAGAGTTTAACATACACGTTTTGAAATCGTGTTTTAAGTAAATAATATTATGAAATATTATGTGATATTGAGTATTGAGTTCTAACAGATAGTTTTTACTAGAAATGAAGTAAAACTATGTTTAGAATCACTCATAAATTATTGAAAGTCTTATGAGATTCCAATTATTAGCCAAATAGTGAAATTTAGTGAAAATATAAAATTTGAAATAAGTGAAATTTTATTATTTAAAGTTGTAGATAATCTCGTTAGAAACATGTAGGCGAAAACCTCGTCGAAATCCGAGTTGTACGAAGAAGTTATGACCAATCGAAGATCCGCGACAAAACCGGCACGGTGCCGAATGACGTAAAAAGTGAGTTTTTGATAAACTACTTTTTAGCCTTAATGATCTAAATGAAAGGCATAGTATTCGTTAAACCGAGAAGTTCGATAAAAAGAACGCCAAAATCTGACTTCGTATGAGGAAGTTATGATTTTTCTAAGTTTCAGCTTAGCAGTAGACAGCTAAAAACTCGGATTTTAGATCGAGTGATTTTTAGCCGACACAACCTAAACGAGAATCGAAGGTCTCGTCATTAGCAGTACAACGGTAAAAAGTCTGACGAAAACGGACGTCAGATGAAGAAGTTATGAATTTTTAACGGATTTACCAGTCCCGGTCTGTTAAAAATAATAATATAAAAACAAAGTCAAAATTTTCCGACAAAGTCTAAACAAAAGTTGTAGAGCATAATTTTCTCTACGCGTGCATATAAAGAACGTCAAAAACGGAGCACGTATGAGAAAGTTATGGATTTTACAAGATTGGGCACAATTTTCGAGAAAAATCGCATGAATAGTGCCAGCCACGTCACCCTCGCTCTGGGCTGGCCACGTGTCCGAAGCTGCTGCGTGGCGCGTCCGAGAAGCGACGCGTGTCGCACAGGTGTCCGAAGTCGTCACGTGATCTCACATACTTTCCTCGTGCCCGACCCGCGTGTAGCCTTCTGATTCGACCGAGGCTGCTGACCAATCCGAAGCTCGCAGCTGTCCGTCCGAGCCTCGCCCTGCTGCCACCTGGTCCGAGCCTCGCAGACACGTGCCCCTCCCCTCCTCGCTTCGGATCCAACCCTCGCACTATAAATAGTGCCTGCGAGACCTCCCAGGCAAAGGTTAGAAACTTGCCCTTTTTCACCCTTTTTCCATATTTTCTTACATTCCGACTTCCCCCGAAGCCCCGGTACTAATTCCAAAGCCCGAAACACGCCCCGAGATTCCCGAGAAGCCCAAAAAATTTATCTTTTCAGTTTCGAAGCTCTACCTTCGTAGAGCCCGGTTTTCAAGAAAACTCCCGGTTTTCAACGAAGAAAGTCATATTTAGAGCCGAAGTGCTGCCCAAATTACTATTTTAACCCCCGATTATTTCACGGTGAGTTTAATATATATGAACAATTGTATGTTATGTGTTATATGTGCTATGTGCTTTTCCATGTTATCATCTCGTGTTATTATTTCTGCTATTTTTTATAGCAAGGTTGTACCTCTGACCACGAAGTGTATGACATAGGCATCACTTGGGTATTGGTATGAACCGTTGACCATGAAGTGTATGACATAGGCATCACTTTGGCTTCGGTAGTATGCTAAGATAAGGCTGAAAGCCTAAATATTCTAGCAAAATGATATTCCTGAGTATTTTCTGTGCCACTTGTGCTGAAACTTTATTGATGTATATCAAGTATGGAAAGTTTGTCATATGATTCACGTATGCCTTTGTTGTTCCTTGTTCCTCTTTGCTTCTGCCATATTTAAGTATATATATGGCATAACGTTATATTGTATCTATTATTGAACTCACTAAGCGTCACCGCTTACCCCTCTCAATGTTTAACTAATTTGCAGGAGATAAGCTTCCAGTATAGTTATATACTGATAGAATATTTTTGAATAGTTTGAACTATTGTTTTGATAGAAGATTTTCGAATAGTTTGAAACTATTGTATTTTGCACTCCCTATGTATAAATCTATAGAATCCTGGGAAGTTATGTAATATATAACACTATGAAATAGTGGGTTTGTATCCAGTAGTTTGTAATCACTTTATCAATATATAAAATATTGTTTTTATGAATATGCACGTAGCATGTTTCGGAGTAACAATTGTCAACTATGAAAGTGTGGGTCTTTCACGGAGACATGTTAAGAACCAGCGACGTTGACGATACGCAAAAACAAAACTATATGCATATGGAACCGGCGACGAAAATAATATCCTTGAAACGCGGCGTTTTCGGCAAAGTAATCATGCATGAGTCGTTCATTAGCCGCCTCACGGTGTCTTTGTATGTATCTTCTCTTCCTCAGGCGTGCATTCTCCGCATTTTGTTGCCGTAGTTATTCAATCTTTTGTTCCGCCTCTTGAATGACCTCTATGGTCGTTTCAAGCAACGCATCAAAAATGACTGATGAAAATGACATTTTGATAGAGAATATTTGAGATATAGAAGATGGTTTTAATGTGGTAAATGAATAAGTTGGGTTGTATTTATAGGAGTTTTAAAAAAAAAATTGGAAAAAGAGCCATTGACCTCCCATTCGTCATTTCCATTTTCCAACCTGCATTTTCTCACCGAATTGCCGAGCCGAGCTCGGCATGCCGAGGCCTCGGCCCGGTGTTCGTGGTGTTCGCCGAGCTAGCCGAACCACATGCCGAAGCTACTCCGATTAGCCTAAACAAGCGAACAAAATAAGAAAGAAAGGTGAAGTAAAAGATGCACATGGATGTCCCGCAATATGTGGATGGACGTATAGAAGGTGTTTTATATGTGGATGGATGTATAGAAGGTATTTTATTTTTTATGTATGTTCAAAATTAACCAATTCAATTTAAATTGATGAAACTAATTAAAATCGATCAACCAAAAAAGTCATTTGTAATTTAATTAGATCAGTTCCAAAATTTGATTATCTAAACTGAATCAGTTTAACGGCCCATTTCCAATAAAATCCGGACCGGTCCAACCCGATTACTATCAAATTATTACCCAAAAATCCTATTAATATATACTAATTAATAAATATTTTAATATATGTTAAATATTTATAAAGCATACGTGTATGTGTTGGAAAATTCAAAATCCAATTATTAATTTGATTGGATCATTACATTCCCCATAGGAATCTCGATAACTTTTATCAACATCATCAATAACTAGAAAGGTTACCCCCGCGTAAGCTTTTAATATTGTTTCCGAATTGATAAATATGACAGACATAGAAAGTACAAGGATGAAAAGTCCGGGTTTTGCCCCAGACAAAAAATATAAAAGTTTTGACTGCAAGGACCAGAAGTGTGAAAATGGCTAAAGAATTAAAGGGGTAGGAATTAGCAACTTTTTAGAAAAGGGATCAAAGTTGTCAAACCGTTAAAGTTTTGTGGCCAAACTTTAAATATTAAAATGTTCCAAAAAAAAGTGTAAAAATATTGATTGCAAGGACCAAAAGTGTCAAAATGGGTAAAGAATAATGACCAAAGTTGCCAAAAAAATCCAAATTTAGTATTCCTAACTTCCAACAATAATACAAGGACCAATTCTGCCAAAAAAATGGGAAGTTGAATGGAACACAAACAAAAGGACATGAATAAATTAATTAAAGAAGTACAGGGACCGGATATGTAAATCAAGGGACCAAACTTAACAAAATATCTCAAGTTTACTATTCCTTTCTTCCACAACTTTAATATATATACAATAATAGTAGCCTGAAGTAGTAAATGTGTAAACTACTTCTCCCACCATAGGAGATTTGTTTTTGATTTATGAGGCTTACATATATGTGTAATTTTTCATGGATATTATATGCTGTTTCCAAGATTTACTATAAATGAAATTCTTCACTTAACTAAATTACAATAAACAAAGTTGTTATGAACTTGAATGACGTCACGGACTCCCACTCAGGGTTTCGGTACCTTGTTCATGAACAAGTTGGTACCGTGGATTCTGATTCCCGTTTTCAGATTCCGGCGACGGATTCGGAATTGGATTCTTCTCACTAAGAAATCAAATAACGATTCCGATTCATACTTCAACAAGTCTTTTCTAAACTTATGCAAATAAATGAAGATACATATCAAAAGAAAATGAGACTCACTTACCTTTTGGAATATATGAAAAGACCAACACCAACAATTAAGAACGATACATAGTATAACCAATCCACCTGTAGTAAAAACAATGGAGGTACTTTCATGTACTTAACAAAAATATATATATATATATATATTATAGTATAATTTATCTTATACCTTTTGTTCGTAGAAAAAAATGCGAATGATCACAGCCCACATATCAGCTGTGAGTAGGGACAAATTGAACAATGTGGACCCACTTGTCTGCATACATTTCATTCGTATCAAATTATTAATAACCCAAATATTAATAAGATTGTCTAGGAGAAAAGGAAAAAGTATAAACCTTTAGTATAAAAGACGTTAAAGAGTAGAATATAAAGAATCCCACTGTGTAACCAACAAGTGTAAGTATCTGCAGAAAACTAAATCATAAAGCTCTGAAAAAACAAAAGTTTAAAATTTTAATATTTGGCTTACAAGTTCAGTAGACCATGCCACTGCTTCAAGATTCTTCCTCTCGAATATGGTGCTAAAAATTGTTATGGAAAAGTGGTTAAATTTGAATTTTTATTGTTTAAAGTTTAAACAAGAAACTATGTGGAAGAAAAGGATACATCTCGATTATACTAAAAAACATTCCAAAAACACCAAGCATTGCTAATACTTCAAGTTGACAGTTCTTTTTAACACAAAACTCCTGCATAGCAGATAAATGTATATATAATGTCTATATGCTATATGAGGGTATAAATGGAAGAAATATGACATAAATGCCTGACCTCACCAACATTGCTTAGTGCAAAGAAAAGTGTCCCCCCAATGACAAGCATATCACCCAAAAGTGGATTTGAACCACCTGAAATGCAAACACAAATCATTTAGGGTTTAGTGCTTTTGATTTTATAAAGATTTATGATTTAAATTTTTAAAGAAAATGATGACCTCCACCACCAACACCAGCATCAGAAAGAAGAACCAAACAAAGGCCTACACCACAAACAGCTGCACCAAGGAACTGCAATAGAGAATACTTTGTGCCCAAAAAGATCCAAGTAAAAAGTATCACCCAACCAACTGTACAGCTATCTAATAATGCTACACTTGTAATGGATGAGAAGTAATATGCTGAATTAACTACACTCAAAAAGTCAACATCATCATATAATAATTTCACCTAAGAGGTTACATGAAGACAGATAAAAGTATGAGATTGGAGAAGCAAACCTACAAAGATAGTTGCCTTGGACATCAAAGAATGCTAACAGAGCATACCAATACCAAGGAATCTGCAAAATTTTCCCAAATTATATTATGTTGTTTTATACTTAATTATCAGCTGCAAAGATGTAACCAAGAATTAACTTAAGATTAAGAAAAGGAAAAGTATACACAGATATAATCAAGTTTCAAACTAAGAGTGAAGGAAGGTGACACTACAATGAGTTCATGGCGCTTATACAACAAGATGCTTCCATAGATCAAGGTTAAAGCCAGATAGCCTAAAAGTCCAAGAGTTACAGGCAAATTAGCACCTATTGCAAAACAAACAAAACAAAGAAAGGAGGTCAATCACTCAATCAAGTTTAAAAATGATTGCAATTTTATAAGTGCTTGTTGTGCCATTATTTAATATTCTAACTAGATCAAACTTGGCAAATGTTCTAGGATTAGCAACGAGATTCAATCAGATTCTCATTGTAATATACGTTGACTTATATAAAACCAGATTCAATAATACCTCCCCCTCTCCCCCTCAAATTGCTCCAGTTTATCTCTCATTCTGAATTTCACAAAATTGACTATGCGAGTAAGGAAACAAATTCATCTAAAATCGAGATGGAATTATCTTACCAAGATTGGCGGTTAGAGATGAAGTGAAGTTCAGAAGAGCCAATATAAAAGAGACGGCCTGGCTGAGTAGCAGAACGGACGCCACTTCCCAAAGGTCCGATTTCCGCCACCACCGGCTGCTGGTGTCGGAGCCCATTACCGTTCCCCTCAGTTACCTGTCAGATCCCAGATGAATTATTGAATAGTATTACTTTGTGAAGTGATGGCGGGAGATACACGAAATGACGAAATACATATAGCTTGCGGTAGAGTGTAGACTTATCAATTGGCCAAAGGTTGAATTTACAATCTAGGGCCCAGAGATCGAGTAACTTTTCCGTTTACACCTTAACTTTTGATGAGCTTTTTATATTGCTCCCTCTTTTATGTACCTTGAGATCATGAAGTTAAGTAGCCTAAAGAAAACTTAGGTGGTGTATGGTTCATATAATGTTCCTAAAGAAATTGGAATTGGAATTAGAGAATTAGAAAATAAATCTATTAGGAATTTGAATTCAATTCCAAATACTACTTGGTTGTTAGGAAATAGAATTGGAATTAATTCCAAATTCTGTTTGGTTGGCAGAAAATGAAATTATAATTCATGTAAAATGACAAAATTGTCTTTTTTTTGTCTGTTTTGCTTAATTTTACTTTGTTTTTTATCTTACATATAAATAATATTATATAAACTATAAAAATAGTAAATTTTCATTTTATTAATTGAGTACTTATGTCGGCGGTGGTAGGTGGTAGTGGTGGTGGGTGGTAGTGGCAGTGATGGTGGTAATGGTGGTGGTGGGTGGTGGTGGCGGTGGTGGTACGTGGCGGTAGGTGGATGGTAATAACGGTGGTGGTAACAGTGATAAGTGGTGGTGGTGGTGGTGGTGTCAGTGGTGGCGACAGTAGGTGGGCAGGGGTGGCGTTGATGGTAGGTGAGTGGTGGTGGTGGTGGCAGTACTGGGGGTAGGTGGTGGTAGCGGCGGTAGTGGTAGCATTGGTGGTAGCGTTGGTTGGTGGTGGTGGGTGGTAGTGGTGGCGGTGGTGGTGGTTAGTAGTGGTGGTTGTGGTTGTAGGTGATGTCGGTGGCGATTTTGTGGTGTCGGTAGGTGGTAGTGGTGGTGGCGGCAACGACGATGGTGGTGGTGGGGGTGTGGCGGTAGGTGGGTGGTAGTGGTGATGGTAGGTGGTGGTGGTGGTGGTGATGGGTGGTGGTGACGATGGTGGTAGTTATGCCGATGACAGTAGATAGTGGTGGTGGCTTTGGTAGGTGGTGGTGGTGACGATGGCGGTAGGTGGGGTAGTAGTGGCGGTGGCGGTAATGGTGGTAGGTGGTAGGTGGTGGTGGCGGTGGCGGTGGTGGTGCATGGTGGTGGTTGTGGCAGTGGCGGTGGTTGGTGGTGGTGGTGAAGGTGGTGGTGGTGGTGGGTGATGGTAGAGGTTATGTTGTGAAATAAAACAAAGATAATAAAGTAAAATGTCACTTTCGATAGTAGTAAGGAATTAATTCCATCGTCTTCTTGAAAAAAAGTGTTTTCCCCAATTTGATGGATTTTTTTTTTCATTTAGGGTTCCAATTTCGTCATACAAAGTTAAACCAAACACTGGAATGTGGTGGAATTGGATTCCTTTTCCCCCGGATTTCATTCCATTTCAGCGAACCAAACGCACCATAAGAGAATAGTAAAGATTCACATACTTTAACAAAAAGAGATTTCAAGTAAGATTAACATTATTAGGTGTGGGCAACTTGTAAAGGCATGTTATCACATCAAAAAAGTGTCACATTACATGTCATGACACCCATGGTGTTATAAAACCAATTGTGAAAATGGTCAATATGTTATAACACACACTAAATTCACTATTCTTCATCTTCGTTACCATCATACGTATAATCCGTCAAGACTTCTAGAAGTTGTTTGTGTTTTCATTCTTCTTGAATATCGACCACTCTATGTAAATATTTTGTTGTCCCGGTTGAAATTGCATGTGTCTAGGTTCCGTAGGCATATACTCTGTGACATCCCCAAATTCACGGCCAGAAAATACCGGTTTAATTTATGCTTTTAAAATAATTTCAGAGTAATCAATTGATTAAAAGTGTTGCGGAATTTGTTCCCAGAAAAACATGATAAATATGTTATCAAATCATTTCCGAAGAAATGTATTTTATTCATTTAAACCATTAGGATGTCATCGTCAATACAAAAACATAAGCATAAACAAAACTTACATTCATTTACACTAGTGATCTACTTCTCTTTTAATCTCTCAGTGTAAAGCAACTTCGTATCGATACCTGTGATACAAATAAACTGAGTGGGTCAGGCTTGGGAGCCTGGTGAGCATATAGGGTTTTCAACCCACAATAAATAAATTTATTATGCTTAAACATCAAACAATCAACCCAATTACTCAATCCCCATTATCTTATTTATTTCTTAAGGATTTACCCTAAGAATCAACTATCACTCGTTCCTAAGGATTCATCCTAAGGAATAGGCACGAAGTCCATCGTAGCCTAAGGTTTATACTACAAGCACTAACAAACGTCGATCCCCACATACTGATCCTATACAGTGATCTTACTAGATCTAGCCTAAATGATCGATATGAACAACCAACTAACGAAACTGCTTCGGAAATTCCCTAGCAGCAAACGAGGATCGATAAGACATCAAATGAATGGAATAAGTTTAACCACGAACCTTCGTTCGTAAAAGAAAGAACCACAAGACAATTAAGTCAGGGGTAGTTATCAATGCCTAGCCGTGGTCCAAATATCGTGAGGTAATTTACCCCCAGACTCACCCTATCCAGCATCGAACTTTGCCGAGGCTGTGGTCTGAATATCGTGAGGTATGTAACCCCCAGACGCACCCTATCCAGCATCGAACTTTGCCTAGGCTGTGGTCTGAATATCGTGAGGTATGTAACCCCCAGACTCACCCTATCCAGCATCGTGAACGGAAACGCTGACTCATGAAGCTCGTCCGATCACTTTATAAAAGAAACGAAGACTCCAAAGCTCTTCAAAATAAAAAGTATAGGGAACATACTAATAAAGTACTCCCGTACGCTCCCGTACCCCGACACGTAATAGTGTCAAAAAGAACAACTATCGGATGAACACATGGTTCAAAAAAACCTAATGAACATATAGTTCGAGAACACCTTATGGACATATAGTTCAAACATAGCTACCGATTACGAGTCTGCTAACGTTCCACTGGACTATGTAGAGTAGTCTGTGGCCGTTGTCTATACTCTGTTAGATGACTAGATCATCTTAAACATCGATACCTCTCATCACTTTTTATTTCATCACACATCATCTAATTCATCTACCCATTTTTTACCCAACATATTTGTAGATAAAAATACATATACAGTTTAAAAACCTGTATAAATCATTCCTTCAATATCCATCTCAAATAGACAAACAATATATGTCACACCCCGATCCTTGTCGGAATCGATCAAGGCGTGATATATTGTTCAAAGTCTCATGACAACTATGTTATAATATGATTAGATTCAATTAAGTACTAAGTATGCAAACAAGATCCACAACATACAAATACAAATCCAAATACGAACAACATTTATTACATCAAATTTAAATAGTCTTGTGGATTTCTAAGGCACAACCTATTTTTCATCAACTTCATTCTTCAAATCTGCATCATGGGTAAAAACAGGTCAACTACGAGAGTTGGTGAGTAATCTAATTTTAGTAGAGAAAATTTGTGAAGTTGAAACATTTATAATTTGAAATTTGTTTTCTTTTGAAGTCGGCAAACAATTGTATTTGAGATAACGGTTTATAAATCAAAAATTGATTAACAAATGATAACAACAACAATAAGTCCTCACCCTATATATACATATGTATATATATATATATATATATATATATATATATAAATATATATAGGATGGAGCATCTAATCATCATACACACTCAACCACGTGCGATCAATCACCTTAGCGTCCCAAGGCGGGGTGGTCAACCCAATAGCGCTATTATTGTCCATAACGTACCTCAAGAATACGGGCATAGTCATGGAGATTAGACTAAAAATGATAATGCACTACAAGTACATGTAGCGTAAACAAACAATAGTTATACAATTAATGACTCACGTATAAATGTCCCAACAATGTCTCAATTGTGATAAAACAATAAAATGAAGTTGGAACATATTAGAACCACATGATACACCCCAAAAGTATTGAAAATTATAAAATATGGGGTAGATTACTCACATTAGTCCCAAAACGAAATGCGTGTGTCGTACGATAGACGGTTCGGGTCAAAATGGCGTAGAACCTAATATAATTAATAGTTTTGGTTTAGGAACTACTAAACGAGAATAGAGTATTAATACAAATTATAGTTTGTTATGTAATGTATCATAAACTATACCTATTATAGTTTATCACAACAAGGGTAGTATAGTGTTCATAAACTATAATTGTCATAGTTTACCAAATGTTTGTGTATAACGGATGTAAACTTTGTTTATAAAAATTAATTATTTACCATACTTGTGAAGGTAAAATCCATTTGTTTTCTGATGTATGTCTAATTACCAAGACAAAATGACATATAATGTAATAATATATGATTACATAATGATATACACCTTGCTCAACGAGTTACAAGGCGTAAATGAAATTGATGGTATTTTTTTAGTAATAACGTTTATGTTACTGTTCTTAGAAAATTTATAGAAAAATCATCAAAGGTCTAAATCAAAAACCGCAAATTCTGAGAGTTTATAAAGTGTGTCTAGTTTGTTCATAAATTTTCTCATGATTTTTAGTGATCTCCAACTTGTGTGAAAATATTCATATTCACAGACTGGTCCGGTTTTGTTTCTGAAATGATAGACAGGTTTGTAAAAATCACCATAAATCGTAGAAAAATCATATGGTGATGTGCAAGTAGTCATTTTAAAGGTATGAACCTGAACTATATGTGTCTAAAACAGTTTTGAAAACTAAAATGTTTAAGTTGACCAAAACAGTCCGTGAATGGAGTTAAACGTTTCTGTTGAAGACTGTTAAATGAGTTTAGTTGTGTTTTTTGGTGTTTTAACTTGTATTCCCCCCCTTAAAACTTAAGAAAAACATGAAAATATAGGGGTATGAACTCACCTTATGTGTTATTAGAGGATGGATGTTGGAGAAGAGAAGTGTTCAACCCAAGAACACTTAGAAGATGCCTTGGCGAAT